CATAAAAAATATGTATTATTTTTATGGATGGGAAGATTCATTATCATAAAGATGTCAATTTTCGCCAGTCATTTATAAATTAATTCCATTTCAAATAAAAATCACAGCAGGATTTTTTTCCCTAGAATCTAACAGGATGAGCATTAAATTCATGGAAGATCAAAGGGGCAGGAGTAGCCAGGATAACATTGAACATTTCTTGTAAAGCTATAGTCATTTGGTATTGCCTCAGAAATTGATAACTAAACCGGTGGAACAGAATAGACAGTCCAGAAAAAAACCCATGAGTATATGGGCACTTGGAACAGTACACAACAGAGGTGCACTTTCAAATTAATGGGAAAAGGATGGCTTGTTTAATAAATTGTAGCAGGACAATTGGCAGTAATATGTCTGGAGTTTTAAAAATTAGACCATTTATATAAATAAAGCAAAAAATTTAAATACAGTATATAGACTATCTTTTATTTCTGGGTAGAGAAGGAGTTTTTTAAACTCCTCAAGGGAAAAGACATACAGTTTGACTTCTTTAAATTTAAAACTTCTGTTTGACTAAAGACGTTAAGATAAAGTTGAAAGATAAACCACAGACTGGAAAAAGATATTTGCAAAATTTATAACTGGCAAGAGGCTTCTCTCCAGAATATACAAATTAATAAAACTACAGAACTATAAATTTAAAAAAAGACAGCCCAGTGGTAGAATGTGCAAAAGTGTTATAAATAGACAATTTACAGAATCAAATAAGTGGGCAGTAAACATCAAAATATTTACAGCTTCATTTGTAAAATGAAAATTAGGACAACAGTGAGATACCAGTTCAGACCCATTAGAATAACAGCAAAACCCACCAAGTTTAAAAAAGGGTAAGAGAAAAAGGGGGTTCGTATACTACTGGTGGGAATAAAATTAGTGCAACACTTTAGGGAGCAATTTGGTAATATCTGGCAGAGTTGAAAATATTTATATCCGGGCTGGCCCGGTGGCGCACTGCTATAGTGCGCCGCTTGGGAAGTGCGGTGGCGCTCCCGCCGAGGGTTCGGATCCCACATACAGACCGGCCACTCACTGGCTGAGCGAGGGGCGGGAGCAACACCGAGGGTTGCGATCCCGTGGCCGGTCCCGGCCCGGTACGGGCACGACACTGAGGGTTGCGATCCGTTGCCGGTCACGAAAAAGACAAAAAGGAAAAAAAAAAAAAGAAAATATTTATATCCTACTTCTAGGAATTTTCCTAGAGACATTTTTACATACAAGGAGATGCATAGAAGAATATTCTTGCCACATAGTAACAAAAATTGGGAACTTAAGCCTGCTTCAGTAGGGAAATGGAATACTCTAAACCATTTAAAACTAATGCACTAGATCTACATAACATGGAAAAATCTCAACAATGTTGAATGAAAAAAGCAAAAAGCTACATATAGTATGACCATTTGTGTAAGTTTTAAAAACATACTACCAAATCTGAAAACGGGTGGAAAGATTACACCCCTATTTTGGAGAATGCAGAAAGAATAGGATTGGAGGTGGACATAAACTTTGTAATATTTTATTTCTTTTTAAAAAAACTAACACAAGTATGACAAAATGTTTACTTTTTTATTTTGTCTTTTTTGTGACCGGTAAGTGGTTCGCAACCCTTGGCTTGGTGTCGCCTGCACTGCGCTCAGCCAGTGAGCGCACCGGCCATCCCCATATAGGATCTGAACCCGTGTCGGGAGCGCCGCTGCGCTCCCAGCGCTGCACTCTCCCGAGTGCGCCACGGGGTCAGCCCAAAATGTTTACATTTTACAAATCTGAGTGTTGGGAACATTAATTTCATAGTTTTCATTTTCTGTCTAATTTTTTTTCATAATCGAAAAAATACAAATTAAAAAGAAAAAAAGGAAGAAAAAAATAAGTAGGACTCACTAGAACGTAAGTTCCACAAGGACAGAGATCTTTGGTTTGTTTGATTGTACTGATCTGTCCCAAGCACTAAAAATGATACTTGGCACATAGGCGCCCCATAGATATTTTCTGAAGGTTTATGGTACTTGTATCACTATTTAGAAACTGCAACTCAGGTCATACAGCTAGTAAGTGTCAAAGCTGGGGTCAAACCCAAGGTGTGGACAGTTTTCCTTGTCCCTTATTTCCCAGAAAGGTTAGATCCTTTGGTTACAATGTGGAGTACCATAGATCCACCTATGTTACTCCACATTGTTAACAATGAAAACTCACACAAAATACTATGCAAATTCTTACATATTTCAGAAATGTGGAGCACTGAGGACACTACTTTAACAGTGTGAGCTTCTCAAGGGCTAAACCAGTATTTATCTCTTTGTTTCTAGTGCCCAGCACAGTTTAGTGCTCGAAGTGAACTGCCCTTGTCTACATAGCCGTCTGTAGTAGTTTGTGCGATTTGGCAGATGATGAACCCTTCTCCTGTTTGTTGATGAATAATCCAATTCTGCTTGACTTAGATTTTTTAAATGTTCCTAGGAGCTTGAAATCGTCATTGGAGATGAACACATTTCTTTCACCACATCAAAAATTGGTTCCCTTATCGATGTCAATCAATCCAAGTAAGTGTACTTGATCCTTATATCCAGTTGTATCTGTTTTGGAGTAGATGAATAAGAAACACTTAACAAATTGGGACCATTATGGGAAGATCTGGTACAAATACAAGACAGAGGTAGGCAGCTTTGTCCCCCTCATTAGGGAGAGACTCCAAGTTATTTTTGAAGGCTTGCTCCTGTTACTTTTGGTATTTCATTTAATCATTGCTACTAAGAGCTTCTCAGTGACACATGCGCGTGAGCACACACAGAATAATACATAGGAGCAGTCACAACAAAAAATGAAATATGTCAAAACTAGTGCTCAGGATAAACTGTAGAGTCACTGAGTCTGAACAGCTTTCTCAGTGTTGAACATTCAGACTAGCACATCTTAAAGTCTGACTTCAGTGAAACATGAAATTTTTTAGGCTCCAAATTTTATTTATTTATTTTTTGGCAGTTGGTGGGTATGCGGACCCCAAACTCTTGACCTTGGTGTTACAAGGCTGCGCTCTAACCAACTAGACTAACTGGCCAGCCCTTAGGCTCTAAATTTTTAAGTCCATGTTGTCAGTGGGGCAAATTATAAAGTTGAGACTTGACTTTATATGCTACAAAGAGTCCTTGGAATTTGGCAACCTCTTTAGCCCTTGTGCTTGGAGGATTTGGGATTAGATATGGCTCACTTTGAGTAAACATCAGGCATATTTGTCTTCCTTTGGACAGTCTCCTTGTTCTTAGCCAGTGATGCCACAGTAATCTTCAACCTCTTGGTCCTAACCTAGTACTACTACTTTTTCAAAAAGTTTTCCTAATTCTGAAAGTAATATATGCTCATTGTAGAAAATATAGGAAATGTAGAAAAGTAGAAAGGGAAAAATCACCCGTAAGCTTATGAGTTAGATAACCATTGTTAATATCTTCAAGTATTTCTTTTTAGTCTTTTTTTCTGTGCATTAAAAAATGTACAGTTTTTTAAAAGCACAAACAATATAACAGCTCAACAATCTGTTATTTTATTCATTATTTTTTCATGCAATAATATGATGTAAGCATTTCTCCAATTAAGAAAAAAACTCAACATATTTAAATGACCTCATAATAGTCCATTTAAATATATAGCCTTTTCCTTCTTTTTGGATATTTGGTTGTTCAAAGTTTTAATGCTGTAAATAACTTTATAAGGAATATTTTGGCAGATAAATAATGGAGGTTAAATGATATTTTTTTGCCAGTTTTTCTTGATTTTTTAAACATTGTTTTTTCCTCTTGAATTTTAGGGATCCAGAAGGCTTACGAGTATTTTATTATCTTGTCCAGGACCTGAAGTGTTTGGTCTTCAGTCTTATTGGATTACATTTCAAGATTAAACCAATCTAGATTGAATATTGGTGTGGACATGAGAGGGATAGTTGTTTTTAATTACCATTATCAGGAAATTTTTGTGTATATCAGGGCAATTTTTTTTATAAACTATAAATGACTGTGTTTAATAAATACGTGAAAAAATCCAATTTTTATTATTTTGTAAAGACCTGAACATGTGAACTCTTCTCAATTACTTTGCAAAACACGAACATCCTATGTGAGGAAGTATTGCCAAAAGAAATTGAGTCTAATCAACTCTAGATATAACTACCCTTTTACAGGAAATAAAAGAATAGAGAAACACGTTTTTAAAAATATAATGGCGGGCCGGCCCGGTGGCGCACTGTTACAGTGCGCTGCTTGGGAGCACGGAGGCGCTCCCGCCGAGGGTTCGGATCCCACATACAGACCGGTTCCCGCTCACTGGCTGAGCGAGGTGCGGGCGCGACACTGAGGGTTGCGATCCCGTTGCCAGTCCCGGTCCGGTACGGGCGCGACACTGAGGGTTGCGATCCGTTGCCGGACATGAAAAAAGACAAAAAGGTAAAAATATAATGGGAATCCAATCAGCAATAGCCAGAGGACAATATTCCAGGACAAAGAGACAATATTCCAGGACAATACTCCAGGACAAATTTTTTCAACCAATAAATTATAAGGGTAACAACAGAAATGGAGTGGGAACCTATAAAGGAGATTTAAGAGACACATTAAGCAGTACCATGTTGAAGCCTATTTGGATCATGATTCAAAAAATGTGAGATTGATACCATTAAGGAAATTTGAATGCTGGATATTTGATGATTTTTTTTTTCTTCCTTTTTTGTCTTTTTTTGTGACCGGCAACGGATCGCAACCCTCAGTGTCGTGCCCGTACCGGACCGGGACCGGCCATGGGATCGCAACCCTCGGTGTTGCTCCCGCCCCTCGCTCAGCCAGTGAGCGGGAACCGGTCTGTATGTGGGATCCGAACCCTCGGCGGGAGCACCACCGCGCTTCCCAAGCAGCGCGGCCCCGCCCCGGCCCCGCCCCCGGCCCGGTATGGAGGGTGCGCAGCAGCGCCCGCCCGCCTTTTACGACAGGCCGGAAAGCAGCGGCCGCAGCCAGCGCCGGGCTGAGCCGGGCAACGATGGGGGTGAGGGGAGGTGACCCGACGCCGGGGCACGGAGGGGGCGGTAGCGAGGATCTGGCAGGCAGGAGCTCGCGCCGGGAGTAAATGAAAGGAGTGGTCTCACGCTGAAGGAGCTGGAGAGCTCGTGCTGGAAGGGGCGGGGCCGGGCCGGGGGTCGGGGCTCGGCGTGCGGCTGCGCAGGCGCGGCTGACGCAGTCGCTCCGGCCCTCCCTCTCAGAAAATCGCGCTGCAGTTCAAAGCCACGCTGGAGAACGTCACCAACCTCCGGCCAGTGGGCGACGACTTCCGGTGGTACCTGAAGGTGCGGCTGGAGGGCGGGACCAGGCGGGGAGAAGGGAGGAGCATCGGGAGGCAGCGGGCTTGTTAGGGGTTCCGGTTAGGGACACGGGGGCCGGACCCTGGGAAGAGGGTTCCATCCGGATCTTAGTGTTGAACAGGAAGCCGCTTTCCCTCCGGCAGCATGTGAAATATTTAGCCAGACACATTAAATGTTCGGTTCTCTCCCTAGTTAGAATCTTAAGTTTGCTTTTTTTTTTTTTTTTTTTTCCAAAAAGATGACCGGTAAGGGATCTTAACCCTTGACTTGGTGTCGTCAGCACCACGCTCACCCAGTGAGCTAACCGGCCATCCCTATATGGGATCCGAACCCGTGGCCTTGGTGTTGTCAGCACCGCACTCTCCCGAGTGAGCCACGGGCCAGCCCTTAGGTTTGCTTTTTAAAGTGTACTGGTTAGTCTTTCATTGGCGGTCTTGGAATTCTTTGCGTTTTTCCCTCCATTAAATATTTTGTGGTCTGTAAACAGACACTAAAATGCTACTTGAAGGGACCTTTTGATTATTTAATAAGACGCATAATTTTGCTTTCTGTTTTATTTGTTGATTTGGTTTTATTGTTGTGAAATAGTTTAATTATGTGCATGATTCAGCTTTACTTCCCCTTCCCACACTGGTAAATGTGGTACCTGAACAGTTTGAGGCCGTTTCCTATCCCAGAGCCTCTGCGCTGTTTTCCTTCTAGTCTAAATCAGCGAGGTGTTGGTAACACCAAGGTCAAGGGTTCAGATCCCCCTGCTGGCCAGTTGCAGAAGTAAATAATTAATAAATAAATCCTAACGTCCTTCTGCACCGTCAAAAGTCCTGTCCTTCAGGAATCCACCTCTAACCCCGTTTATTTCCAAATATTTTGAAGCTTGAGTGCCAGGGTTTATTGGGGGAATCAGTGTTCTTTGGCTTCCAGAAGCACAGTCGAGTGAAGGAGACAGAAAAATAGAGTAGCAACAGTGATAAATACTTAAACCAGGGACCTAAAGGGCCTGTGGAGACACGAAGCTCCTAATCAAAAGGGGGGGGGGGCGCGGATGTGTTGAGTCTTTTTCTGTACCACATGAGCCTTGAATCCCCAGCCAGACTGGACACTTCCTAGAGGAGGGTGGACATGCCAACGTGAGAAACAACTTAACCTGTTCTTTGCCCAGAGATAAGTCTGGTTATGTCCTTGTTGGGGCTGGTTGTGAGGATGAAGTGGGATTGCCAGGAAGAAGGTAGGTTATGAGCCTGCCTACCTCACACTGTTCTTACCCTTCCCTCAGTGTCTGCCCAACTGAGCCAACTGCTTTACTAATACTATCTTTCCCCCCAAGATGAAATGTGGCAACTGTGGAGAGATTTCCGAGAAGTGGCAATACATCCGGCTGATGGTAACTGTTCCCCCACTACCACCACACACACACACACACACAAACATGCATACACTTCTGGGCAGGGATTTGGGGAAACTAGCCCTAATCTCTCAGGTTCTTTGGACCTTGTTTTTTTGTGGTTTGGGAGGGCAGGCGTCAGTATGGTCATCACTGGGAACAACAGGCATCTTTGTTGTATGAGGCAGAGTTCAAAATCAAGGGGAAACCCTTTCCTCAGTCTCAAGAAGCCTCCCCAGGATTCTTGTCCTAGCACTCACCCTCTTTGGGTCTTGGTCTCTTCAACTGGATAATAAGTGGGACTGGTCCTCCTCAGGACTCTTGCATCTAATTAATATGTGACTAGAAGTTCTGTTTGCTCCTTGCCAGGACAGTGTGGCGCTGAAGGGAGGCCGAGGCAGTGCCTCCATGGTCCAGAAGTGCAAGCTGTGTGCACGGGAAAACTCCATCGGTAGGTCAGCCCATGACTACTGAGTTCTGCCAGGCCGGCCCACAGCTTCCTGGTACTACCAGACCTAAAGCAGGCTCATGTCACCTATGGGTGGACTCAGGCCGAAGGTGCTAAAGCCTGTGCAACAATCTCTCTTTCCCAGGACCACTTCTGGGCACCTGGGTGGGGCCAGGGTATGGACTCAAGTCAACTTTGTCTTCTCTTCTGTGTTTCAGAGATTCTGAGTAGCACCATCAAGTCTTACAATGTAAGTTTGCGCTGTAGTGGCAGGTGTGGTGGGATTAAATCTAAACTGGGAGCTAGGAGGCCTGGTTGGTAGATACACTGAGTAAGTACTTGGAAGGGAAAAGATTCATAAACAAGCTATGGCAGTGCCTTTTTAGGAGCTCTGAGCTGTGGGAGCTCAGGGAACCTCTGACCCAACCCAGCCACTCAGTTTGCATCACTGAGAGCACTTGCCTTGTTTACATCTTAGGGAACTAGCAAGCCTTCTCTGAAACCATGGGTGGGACAGTCCTTTGTATCCTTAATAACATCAATGTTTTTAGATAATTATACATTACTACATAACAAATTAGCCCAAAGGTAAGGGAGGCAGAATATACTTTGAGTCTATTTATATTCATACGTTTCTTATTTGGTATTTATTTAAAATGTCTGGGTTCTGCTAAATTCTTGGCTTTGTTCTGAAGTTAAAGAGAGAAAATAAACGAAGATTTGCCCTCAAGTAAATCTTAATCTAGTGGAAGATACAGACCAGCAAACAAAAAGCAAACCAGGGCCCAACAGAGAAGTGCCTCACCAGTGCCAGACACACGGTTGGTGTGCAGGAAATAGATATTACAGTGAATGATAGGATGAGTGGTTGTGTGGGCATAGCACTTGTGGTCTCTGAGCCCATGGGGCAGGTAGCCAAGAATTCTCCCCCCCAATCCCCCTGAGAGGTGCTCCCTTCACACACACATCCCATTTCTAAGGCTTTAGGTCAGTCCTCTGCCCATGCAACATGGCAAATAGCAAAAGGCTATGGCTTAGTGTACTGGTTCCATTTGGATGATTTGGAGACTTTGTAGCTTAACATTCTTGTTCATATTTTTGGTATCGATAATTTAGTCTCCCATTTATTGAGCATAGTGCCGGTACTATGCTGGTCACATTACACGTATTTCAAATTCTCACAATAAACCTTAGAGGTTTCCTTAGCTACATTTGATAGTTTAGGAACCTTAAAGGGAAAGAGCTCAGCTTCACATCCAGGCAAGCTGACCCCAGAATCGACACTTTTTCTGCAGCAACCATGTCTACAGAAGGTCTTATGACGTACCCAAAGGAGGCTTCAAAGGGTATGAGTTATTCCTGGGTCCCATTCTAGGCCCAGGGACAGTAAGGGCCCACTTGGCAGAAAGGACGGGGGCTATGGGGTCATTCTGCACACCCAGTTGGGCCTGCCTCCTCAACACACTTCCTTTCCAGGCTGAAGACAATGAGAAGTTCAAGACGATAGTAGAGTTTGAGTGCCGGGGCCTTGAGCCAGTTGATTTCCAGCCCCAGGTATGTGTGTGTCTTTCTGGGGAACCTGTGTCTTTGGGGAAGGGATTATGAAGTGACAGCAGAACTTTGCTTCCTGCAGTGACCATGGACTAGGAATTCTCCTTTCTAGGAATAATAATAATTTGTCAGTTATTAAGTGCCTGCTATATACTGGGCACTATGCTCATTACTTTTATGTGTTACCTCATTTAATCCTCATAACCCTATGAAGTTACTCAGCCTATTTTTCAGATGAGGAAAGAACTTCAGAGATTTTCCCACTTGCCCAGGGTCGCACAGTTAGTAAGCACTGGAGCTTAAGTTGAACCCAGCTCTGACTCCTCAGCCAGTGCTTATTCCTCTTTATTTGTGCAGTGTTTTCACACAAGTCTGTGAGGAAGGAAGAAAAGAAGGTATTGTTTTCCTCATTTTATAAATAAGAAAACTAAGGTTCAGAGAGGGGAGTGACATTCCCGGGTCGTTTACCAAGTCAGGGGTAGTGGAAGGGTTTATCCCATAGCTCCTGCCTTCTGGTCCAAGGCTGTAATTTGGAGGAACCACTCTAGTCCCAAGGCAGCTACCAGTCCTGAAAGCTCAGCATTTATTCCAGAACAGTTGCTCACACTGTATCCTGTCCCCCATTGCAAAGGTGTGAGAAGAGCTGGCTCTCTGGAAGCCAATGTCTTCTTATGGAAGCCCAATATCTCCCCCATAATAACTGCTGCCTTCCTGTCCCCTACAGGCCGGTTTTGCTGCTGAGGGTGTGGAGTCAGGGACAGTCTTCAGTGACATTAATCTGCAGGAGAAGGTACAAGACTTGGGGGCCTTGTAAGGTACTATAGAGCACCTGGTGGGAATATCCTTTTGGTAAACAAGGCTCATCAATAGAAAGTTGACTCTGCATTTTTTGTGCTTTTTGTTGGTGATTTTCCTCTTTAAATGGCTGCAAGCGTAGTGCTGAAATGCTTGTAGTGATCTTAAGCACAGGAAGACTGTGGTGTACTTTACAGAGAAAACACATGTTAAATAAGCTTTGTTCAGGTATGATATCACAGCTGTTGGCCTTGAGTTCAATGTTAATGAATCAACAAGATATACTAAATAAGGTGTCTTAAAGCAGAAACACACATAGAACAAGGTTATTTATTGATCTTTTGGTGAAAATGTTGTGACCAGAGGCTCACAGTATCCTAACCTTGTATTTCCCCTGGGAGCAGTAGTTCAGTGTTTGCTAATTCAGTTGTGTGGTGACTTTGTAGAGCCTAACTACCACAAATAACAAGAACTCATCTGTATTACTGGACTGTTACTACTCTACAAATAGAAAAGCCTTATACTCAGGCCTCGAAGGAAAGAAGGACAAAAACTTCATTCAATTTGCATTGCATCTAATAACAACAGTAGCTGGCATATACTGAGCTCTTATATGTGCCAGGCCCTGTGCTAAGTGCTTGTACATGTGTTTCCTCCTTTGATTCTTTCAACATTCAATACGAAGTCTATTTTTGTCCCTTTTTTGATAGAGGAGAACTGAGGCTCAGAGAAGTTCAGTAACTTACCCACAGTCATAAAGCTGAAAGAGCTGGAATTCAGGCCTGAGCTATCTGGCTCTGTTCAGGATCATGCATGTTCATGAATATCTGAGCCAGAGCCTGCACTGGGTCTTCTAAGTCCCAGTTCCCCTCTCCTTACACTATCCCATTCTGCCTTGTATGGCTTACACTGCCATTTTATTTCACAGGACTGGACTGACTATGATGAAAAGGCTCAGGAGTCGGTGGGAATCTATGAGGTCACCCACCAGTTTGTGAAGTGCTGAACCCTCTTCGTGCACACTTGTCCTTAAGAACTTAGAAGGGACAAAGTGTCCCAAGCAGCAGAGCCCACTGAGGCTGGTCCCCTCATCTCTCGTCTCCTGGCAGCTGTACCAAACCTTCACAATCTGCTTGCTGGGCTCTGTCATAGCTTCCCAAGCCTCATCAATAAAGCCCCCTTTTGTGTCATACTGGTGCATGAAGGTAGACTCAGATAGCAGACACTCCTTCCACAGATAATTCATGCTGGAGGTTTTTGACTGCTTCTTGGCGCCTTCTCACAGTCTAAAATCCTGCGCCTGATCCGATTTGCAAAATATGCAGAAGCACACAACTTCTGAGGGCTCTCCAGCTCTTGGGGAGCAGGCAGGTCAACCTGGAGGATCAAAGGTGTGAAAGCCAGTGGCACAGAGGGCAACAGAGCCTCTGGAATGATGCCATCAGCCCAACAGTCCTGAGCCAAAACACTGCATTGACCAGCTTGGCTGTCAAGTAAACCCATTCATCTCTGTTAGCTTGAGTCACTTCCTATTCCAGAGCTAAAAGGGACTTTGGAGGTCAGCAATCCACTCCTAGCATGTATCTGTTCTACATAGCTCCTGCCAGATGGTCATCAGGTCTCTCTTCACTTGCTGTAATTGGGCACTCCCTACCCATTAGGTATGAAAGTTTCTTTATGCCAAGTCAGCCTCTGTGGTCCTTGTAGCTCCTCCTCCTGGTCCTGGTTTATCCCGTGGCCATACTTTTGTGTTCTGCCCTTAGTCAGCCCTTGGATCTGTGAGGACAAAAGTCACAGCCCTCTCAGTCTCATGGGCCTGGTTCCCTGGGTTGGAAGATCCCCCATACAGTAGACAGAGTTGTTCAGTACATAGCTGGGTCATGAGGGGATGCTCATGCCTTCACACTGGTGAACCCACCATTAGGAAATGTTGTTACCAAGGACCTTATTCCTCCAGTGTTCTGCTGGAGCCTAGAATTCTTTGGGAGTAAAAATTAGTATCTTTGTTTCCCATTTCCGGGAGTGGGAAAGGGTCTGCCCACTCCCAGGCTAACTGTGGGACTCTAAAGGAAGGGGATCCTCAGGTTTCAGGCAAAGCTGGCATGTCTAAGGATGTTGAGGTGCCTACCTTGTCCCTTCTTGAGTCTGGCAGCCACATTGTGTTTCCTTTAGGTCCCCTGTGTTCCTGGCCCCCTAGGCTCTTTTCTGTACCTGACAGAGCATGGCTGCTTCAGTCCTCCCTCAGCCAGTCCCTGCCCACTAGGTCCAGTCCCCTGCCTAGCCTAGAAGCAAATAATATAGGAAACATTGGGCTAGGTAAGCAGCAAGCAGCCTTTCTGGGGTTTAGTCTCTGTACCAGCCAGTGTGTATTAAGCTCAAAAAGACAAACACTAAAGGATCTCAAGGTTTTCTTTTTCTAATTTTTTTTCTCATCTTTCAGGAGGTAGGGGAACCCAAGTAATCTTTACAAGAGAAATGAAATAGATGCAGGAAAGGTATTCAGTAAAATTCAGCACCTATTAACAAAAACAGCAAACTAGAGAAACTTGGCAAACTAGGAATAGAAGGGAACTACCCTATGTCACAAAAGATATCTATAGGAAACCTAGAGCAAAAGCTATGTTTAATAAATGATGAAATGTTTGAAGAATTCCACTCAAGATCATGATGAGATGAGGATGCAGGACGCCCTCAATCACTGCTCCTATTCTTCATTGAGCTGGAGGTCCCACCCAGTGTGATAAGAATAAAAAGTAAGGTAAAAGGATTGAAAAGGAAGAAACAATTCATTTTTCCCTCATTATGATTTTCCACTTAGAAAGTCTGGAAGAATTTACAGGTCCTGGATTTAAGATCAGTATACAGAAATCAAATGCATTTCAGTACCCTAGCAACAAGCAAACTGTAATTCAAGAAAAGACACCATTTATAATAGCAACCAAAAAATACCCCCAAGAAGTAAGTAGCAATTAATCTATCAAAGAAATTCATGACCTAAATGGAGAAAGCTATTAAACTTTACTGAAAGGTGTTATATATATATAAAAGCCTAAATAAATGGAAACCTATACTGCTATTGATGGATAGACTTGATATTGTAAAGATGCTCATTTTCAGCAAATGTATTTATAAATTAAACTCTAAGAACTTAAGTCGATTCTGAAATCCGTATAAGACAGGTGGGAGACTTCCCCCTACCAGATATCACAGTGTATGAGGCAATGACAATAAGCCAGCATGGTATTGGCAGCTGTGATACACAAATTGACTAGTGGGACAATAAGTAAACTGAGCCATTTATGTATGAAAATTGATTAATGACAGGTGGTGGTACAGATCAATGGGGAAATTATTAACTCATCAATAAATGGCGCTGGGGCAGTTTAACTTTGTGCAGTAAAATAAGATTGGAACCCTATTTATTTCACTCTGCATACAGAAGTCTACTCCAGAGACTAGTGATCTTGAGTGTTTTGGTATTACAGTGTGTGGGAGTAGAAGAACATCAGTGTCTGGCTCACTGTAAACCCCTGGGCAAGGACTTCCCCTCTCAGTACCTCCTTCTCTCTATCTGAAAAATGAAGGCACATTCGACTCTGACACCTATTCAATGAGATCATTCAAAATGGTGGTGACATGTATGGGCCCTGCTCCTCATCACTAGACCTGAACACACAGTAAGTGATGAATAAAAGGTAGACCCCTGGCCTCCACTCCAGGACAGCAGCATCCTGTCCAAGTAGTAGAAGTTAGAGCTACTGAAAGTGAGGACAGTGGAAGGTGAGGCTATGAGTCCTAATTTCTCCACCGGCTGTTATTTGTACATTGTATGAAGGTCCTTAGTATGCTTTTCTTACATTAGCCCTGAACTGCTGTTTAAAAAGTACCATCTTTGTCCAATAGCTTTTTTCTTAATTAGGCTTATATGGAAAAACATGGCTTTTTGTGAATAACAAGATCAGTGTTGGGTAAGGTCAGGCTGCAGTTCTCATGTACACAGTCACTTCTGCTGTTTCCCAGAAAAGACAGAGCCAGGGTCTCTGCCCAGCTAGGCAGCTGCGGTGATCATGTCACAATGCCATCCCCATTCCTCAGTGAGCCAAGTACCACTGAGCTGAGTCCTTCCACTGGTTAGTCCGTCAGGGCTCCAGGTAAGGGTACTTTCATGACTGGCCCTCAGAAAGCTGTAGGACTCACAGTACTGAACATTTTGCCTTTCTTGGTATATTTTGTGCATCTGGATATTCATTTGGCACATCTTCGCTAAGGGCCTCTCCTGCACCAATGTCCAGAGAAAGGGAGTTGAATGAGACCCAGGCTCTCTTGTTCACAAGCAAGGGGTCAAGTGAGATATAGGCCATTAACTAAAACAGTAGCTCCCAAACATAGCTGTGCATTGGGTCACTGGGAAAACTTTTGAAAAACACGCTTTTTGGTCCCACTTCATTCCTGCTGAATCAGCCTCTCCCATGCAGAAGCCTGAGTTTTTGGGGTTTTTATTTGTTTGTTTTGTTTGTTTTAATTATTATTTAAAAGCATTTCCAAGTGAATCTAATGTACCCATATGACCAGAATCACTAAACCAGATTCCACAGTAGGATATGCTCTGGGTTGCTTCAGGGATTAAATGAGACAGTGTAGTCAACATATTCAGTACAATGTCATGGACACTGACATCCTGAGTACTTGGGATTGAATTGTAGTAGTTATGATTTGATTAGAAATGCAGACAGTCTGCACTGTTCTCTCTAATGGCTGAGTACCCACTTGGAGCCAGCCCAGGACCCTCAAAGCCACTTCCACGTATTTGTTATAAGCCACACCCCACTTTTCTGGTACCAATTTTCTGTATTAGTCTGTTTCTGTTGCTTATAACATAAACACCTGAAACTGGGTAATTAGTAAGAAAATGAAATTTATTGTCTACAGTTTCAGAGGCCAGGAAGTCCAGAGTCCAGGGAACACACCTGGCGAGGTGACTCGACAGCAATGCAGGTTGTCACATGATGGAGCAGAGAGAGAGCTATCTCCTCACTCTTCCTTTTAAAACTCTCAGAACCACACCCATGACCACCATTATTAATCCATTTACCAGGGCATGGTCCTCACAATCTAATCACCTCTTCAAGGCCACACCTTTCAATTACCATAGTAGGATCTCCCACCCTCAATAGTTACAGTGGGGATTAAGCCTCAATACATTAAATTGGGGGGGGTAACAATTCAATCCATTCCTTTCATCCCTTATGTTATCAAGTTGCAGCTGTGTCCCCCGCAAGACCCCCCCCCACCTTTCACCACCCACCACCTGGCTCATGTCTACCTCCTCAAATCCTGGCTCTCAGTCTTCTTTGTCATATAACTGTGTCACATGAAGGTAACTGGATGGGTATCACTATATTTGGAAAGTATTTGAGATGGTCTAACTTAAAACATAACCTAATAAAAACCACAGTGAGATACCCCTTCATACCCACCAGAATGGTTATAATCAAAAATGACAGATGATAACAAATGTTAGTAAGGATGTGAAGAAATTAGAACCTTCATATCCTGCTGGTGAGAATGTAAAATGGTGCAAAAGTCTGGCAGTTCCTTAAACAATTAAACAGAGTAACTACATGACCCAACAATTCCACTTCAAGGTGAGTACCCAAGACAATGAAAACGTATGTCCACACAAGAACTTGTATGCAAATCTTCATAATAGCATTATTCGTAATAGCCAAAAAGTGGAAACAACTCAAATATCCCTCAACTGATAAATGGAAAATAAAATGTGGTATATTCATACAATGGAATATTATTCAGCAATAAAAAGGAATGAAGTACTGCTACAGGCTAGAACATGAACCTTGAGAACATTATGCTAAGTGAAAGAAGCCAGTCACAGAAGGCCACATACTATATGATTCCATTTGTATGAAATGTCAGCACAGGAAAATCTATAGAGACAGTAGACTAGTGATTGTTTAGGGCTTGGGGAACCTAGGGGGTTGAGAGAAAAGGGGAGTGACTGCTAATGGGTACAAGGTTTCTTTTGGGGATGAAAATGTTTTAAAATTGATTTGGTGATGGTTGCACAACTCAGAATATACTAAAAACGATTGAATGATGCATTTTAAGTGGAATGTATGGTATGTGAAGTATATCTCAGTAAAGCTGCTTTTTATAAAAGGTAAGCTACGTGGT